TAACCAAGCTCCTCTTTCTGTGGGAGTTTGCATGTTCTTCTCGTGTTAGTGGGGGTTTTCTCTGGGTGCTCTGGTTCCCCCCAAATTTCCAAAATCATGTAAATTGGGGTTATTGACCAATGTAAATTGTCCTCAAGAAAGGTAGAATTAATTTCTAGAAAATTTTATTTGCAAACCATTCAGATTGGAGAAGCATAAAAAGAGTAATATCCGGTGAGAGTTTAACTCTCCAGACGTTGCCCTTTGTCTCAAATTTCTAGTTTTTTTTTTTCAGTGTACCACTATGACATAGTGACAGTGTTAACAAGTATGTAAAAACTTTTTTTCTTTTTTATAAAGTTACATACTGCAGCTTTAAGAACACATTCTTCAACATGTGGGAACAGATTTATAAGTCTATTTTATGATTATGAGGTTCTGTAAAACAGCAGTAAACAAATATTTATTCAACTACACATACAGGGGTTATTTCTGGATGTGCAAATGTGCATTTCCATGCGTTTATTCTATACATAAACAAGAATTTTCCAGCCGGTTCGCTCGACACGTCTGTTATTAAGACTTTGCAAGTTTGCGAAGGTTTGACGGACAGCTGCTCGCCGGGGATGGGGAGTGTCATTTAAACGCTTTTAATATGTACGTGGTAAGACGCCCTCAGTGGCTGATGAACAGCCTCCTGACCTTCTGAGATGGGCAGCAACACATGACTTCCATGCCAAAGCATCAGCCAGACAGGCCGCACTCCCAGCCATTCCAATTACAGACATTAGCAAGCAGTGAGCAGCAGCTAATTTGACAAGCTGAGATGATGCCCATTCATATCCACCCCGCTTCGGTGGCCCAGGGTAAATATTTCCCCAAGCTCAGTATAAATAGAAAGACAATATTTGAACAGCTGAGAGGAGAGACAGACTGGGTGAGGAGGAAAGAGAGGAACTGGAGAGGAGATCTTAATCCTTTATGTATACATGCAATACATATTCATAAAGTGGCCGCTCCTTAAAGTGAAACCGGAGATGTGGTGCGAGGAGAACGACGTGCTGTCAGACGCAAGGGAATCTTTTCTGGAGTAAACGACAACTGTTGTTGAAGCTGGAGTTCTGGTGTTTGGACTGAAGGAAGCTTGGGGATATTGGGTTTAATGAGGAAGCAGAGAGCAGCTGAGCTCAAAGTTTACCTTTTATTATCACTCACTGCACTTTTTCTATTAACACAGTAGATTGAGGGAATCAGGAGGAGGACCTGATTCCATCAGACCATTTCTGAAGATTTTGAAAAGGATAAAAATTTCACTTTGGCAACTTTTTGGGTGAAGTCCCGTTACACAGCTGGAAGTATACGAAAAAGAGAGAAACTGAACTTTGTCTTCTGTTACAACAGTTAATGCGTCCCGTCGCTCCAGCCCAATCGCTCTCAGTTAAGGAAACATGAGCTTGATGGGAATGTTATGAAACCAAAGGTCCTATCCTCATACCAGCGCTAAATGAAAAATACCCACAAACTGTAGCATAAAAAGTGTGTGTGGTACTGTTTTTGTTTTATGGGTCTTGACTTGCTGGAAGGTTACAAGCGGTTCATATGCAGTCTGTTGTAGATTACTCTCTTTGTGACTTAGTTTGTGATAAATCCAGATTAGTTTGGAGGCTGAAGGTAGCAGCAAATCTGAGAGGAGCCATGAACAAAAGCCTTAATGGGGAAGAATTATGTAAAATCAACTTTTTGACCTTTATATCATGTTATAATGTCATTCCCTCATCAAAAACATACCTGAAGTGTTGCCGTGATTCTTTCACGAATGTTACAGAAATCCTTTAATCTCCATGGCAACCATTCAGCTCTGCAAAACACCTGGTTGGACCTAGCCCCACCTTTGAGGCGCAGCTCCTCCAGTTTCCAAGCTTTCGTCTCACAGAACATCTCTTCCCTGCAGCTCCTCCACTCAGCTCCTTCAGACTAGCCAGCAGCAATTAGCAAAAAATTTATTCACATATATTTTATCTCCATCAATTGTCCAGTTACTTTTCTTTAAGAGAAAGAACTAGTCAGTTAGAAGAAATGATTATTGTTCCCATGGGATCACCATTGATTCTGCTAATCACTCCATTTGCCCCTTCCTTAATGATCCATGCCCTCTTCCTGTCACTGCAGACCACCATCGATCTGCATTTGGGTGGTAGAATCTTGAAGACGAAACACACTTAATGAAAACAAACAGATGTTTG